TCTCCGTCATCGGTGGGCTCGGGCTGATGCTCCGCACCGCTGGGAGATGGTGGGCTGGGCACTGGGTCTGGAATGGATCTGACGAGATCATTCACGGGGTAGGATGGCGATCAGTTTCTCGCCAGAGTCCACTCCACGAAGGCAACGAAATCCTCTCGAGGACCATCCTCGGTTGATGGCGCTCTGCTTGCGGTGTTCAAGCTCGCGTCAAAGAATGAGCAGAGCGCGTCGTCCGGGTAGCTGGTGGTGCTAGCTAACAGCCGGAACAGTCTTGTATGTTCCTCGAGAGATTTGTCCCCCTGCTCCAGTAGGAGGAGGAGGAATTCCGGGCGGAAGAAGGGATCCATAGAAGCAACACATTGGAAACAAAAACATTTGAGGAAAAAAATTGAAAAAACTAACGGAGGGGAAACACACAGAGGTTACTGTCTTGGGTCGGTTCTTTTGTCACGATCTGTGCTAGGAGGAGCGCGGAACAAGGAACAAGGAGACGTGGAGTACATAAACAGTCTTTAATTCTGGGAATGACGGGAATTTCACAACATCCAACAAGTAGAACCGACAAAGGAAGACTACACAGACTGGGGCTAATAAACACAGGGCAATCAGGCACACAAAGGTGCATGGAATCAATCAAATTAACAAAATTAACACGAGAAGAAACTGGGTCACAGGGAGCAAAACACACACAGACAGTCCAGAACCCTGACAAATATAGACTATATAATTAAAACATTTCGAAATCCCGCTCTGCATGAGATTCGGATCGAGGCTAAAAATGATGCCATACTGTCTCAGTCCACTGCTCCACAATTCTCTTCGGTGTTAGACACGCTTCGAGAGGAAACACATCTTAAACATTTCGTTTGAGACGCTACTGAAATACCGTGAAGGCATGATCTGGCTCCTCATTACAAAATTTTTTATTCCCTAAAACTAGTATAAATGTTTTGCTTTGTTTTATATCGTGTGTGATCGCATAATTTATTTATATTAATTTAGTTTAAAAGAAGAGAATAAGACACGGACGGTTGAGTGTGATCGCGAGAGAGAGAGAGAGAGAGAGAGCGCGGGGTTTTTAGAGGTTTTTGTAAACCACTCGTTTGAAGAATGGTCATCCTTGCACTAGGAAAAATGTAAGGGATTATATTTTTACTCATTTATTGATTTATTCATTAAGCTTAAAGCTTCTTATTTATTGTTTTATTTTCAATTTCATTATTGGTCATGTTATTTAATACCTTTTTTATATTGGTGATAATCATTTTATACAACCGTCAGAATATATGTGTGGGCACACATATTGTGATCTGTTCTCATGCTCTGTTTAAAATTGGTTCGTTATTTTTGATTTCTACCTTAAAACTGATATCTTCTTTTCTCACATCCCCCGAGAGAGAGAGAGGGAGACATAGAGCCAAAAGTCAGATTTTCCATCATCTCTTCATCCCATTGCTTCTCAGGAGTTTTAGGTGAGTATAAGACGTCCATATCTATGTATTTCACAGCTCTTTTCTGATTTTCCACAGAAATGCCTGAGATCTATTTACCTAAGCGCACCTTGGAATGCAGCCAGATTCCTCCCCGGTCATGTGGATGTCAGATGCCGGACCGGATGTGGGAATGGACAATAAAAGCACAAAAACTTTCCTCAGGACTTCATTTATGACATCGAACAGCATTGGACAAACATATTTCTTCCTCTGGAAGGCAAAGGTAACATCTGGATGTCATTAACAGGTCACGGGGTCAAACAACGTGTGTGTGTCGCGACATGGGTGGGATACGTGGGGAGGGAGGGGAAAGGTCAAAAGGTCAAAGCCATAAATGAATCTTGACAAGGGTCATAAATCATTCTTGACACTCTGTGAATCATACTGACTACTAATGTTTGGGTAGTTGGAGCCAAACCCTCGAGGACAATAGCCCTCCAGGAGCAGCATTGGACACCTCTTCTAGTGCATTTACAAATTAATTGAAAAATGTGGCACAGAAGTCAGTTTGTTCTATGTAGCAAGTAACGAGTAATTTATAATTTACGTACTGGTATAGTGTGAGATGCAGAACGTTTCTCCTTCTGTTGATTCATCTGCTGCCACAGCAGTGATGCTAAATGTGTAATTGACTCCAGTAGTCAGCCCAGTGATGAGATAGGAAGTGTTAGTTGTTGTTGAATTTCCACTTGTTTTATCATCAGCCCATTGAAGTTTAAAGAAATATGTATTTCCAGTTGGTTCATCCCATGTTAGAACCACAGAAGATGTTGTGATTTCAGACACTCCGAGATTCCTGATCCCATCTGGCTCTGTGTAAAAAAAGGGAATAGGATTATTCATTCATAAGGCATTTACAGTTAGACTGGATCTGAGTGAGTCTGGTGGTTAAGATGTTGCTATAAATTTTATGGGTCAATGCGAGTAAATGTGAGATGGTTCTAAAGTTTCAGAAGATTCATTCGGATTAAACATCCCAAAAGATTCTACAAGAGATTATAAATTATTACATTTGTTACTAATAAAGATCATAATGATGATTTTTGGGTCAACTTTTGTAACACATTAAAAAATTATAATAAAAGAAAGCACTTTATAAAGGTAACACTTTATTTTAAGGACCAATTATCATTATTAACTATTAGCATGCATATTACTAGCACACTGGCTGTTTATTAGTACTTATAAATCAGATATTAACGCCTTGTTCTGCATGACCATATTTTAGATGCCTTAATCTGATTTCATACCTAAATTTAACAACTACCTTACTAACTATTAATAAGCAGGAAATTAAGAGTTTATTTAGGGAAAACTCTTAATTACTAGTGAATATTTGTTCCCTATTCTAAAGTCTTACCAATGTCTTGATTGATTACATTAGCCCTATTAAAACACTTAAACTAGATGACATGCTTGTATATATTGAGATACAAATAGGTTTACCTTAAAAATCATAATATCTGCATTATTTATTTTGTTAGACGTTACATTGATAGTCAGAACATTATACTGATATTTATTTTTGTAATAGGAGCTTTGGAAGGAGATTCGTACAAAAGAGAACGAAAAAAGCATGAGTGGTGCTGGATATGGTAATAGTTGTAGTGTTTTTAAAATTATTATATGGCACAGAAGTCAATTTGTTTAAACATGTTCTATATGGAAATTAACAGATAGTTTATAATTTACGCACTGGTATATTGTGAGATGCAAAAATTGTTGCCTTCTGTTGAATTGTCTGTTGCCACAGCAGTGATGCAGAATGTGTAATTGACTCCAGCAGTCAGACCAGTGATGAGATAGGAAGTGTTAGTAGTTGCATGTGTTTTATCAACAGTCCACAGCATTTTAAAGAAAGATCTATTTCCAGTTGGTTCATCCCATGTCAGAAGCACAGATGATGTTGTGATTTCAAACACTATGAGGTTCCTGATCACATCTGGCTCTGTGTGGGAAAAGAAGGACAAATCATAAATGCTGATGAGAGAGAGGGAGTTAAAACATGTGAGACTGATACAATTAGGAATTCATAAAGCATTTGAAGAATTTGTAGGTGCTTAAGATGTTGCTATACAGTTTTCTGCTCAAGGCAAGTAAATTGTTTCAAGGCTGAAAGTTCGGCAGATTAATTCATATTAAACATCCAATCAGAGGTCTTACTGGTATACAGTGAAATCTGATTGGCTCTCCCCTCGGTCACATGATCAGCTGCAACTGCAAACACTCTGAATGTGTACTGCGCTCCGGGAATCAGATGATTTATTTTGATGGAGGTGTTTTCAGCTGTCACATTGTTATTTTCATATTCTACACGGTAACAGGAGCATTGGCCGTTTGGCTTAGTCCAGTTTAGTAAGACAGAGGATGTTGTAATGTCAGCAGCTGTGAGGTTCATTATGACGTCAGGCTCTGTGAGTAAAAATAACAAGACATTTAGGGAGTAAAATGTGAATCCTAAAACTTGTAAAGACTCATCAGGAAAAGTATAAAACATACTCCTATATTTGGAGGTAACCACTGATTCTCCTTCTGTTGATTTATCTGCTGCAACAGCTGTAATGATAAATGAGTAATTGACTCCAGCAGTCGGACCCATTATGTTATACCATGTGTTATTGGTTGTTGAACGGCTGGCTGTTTCCTCATCAGTCCATTCAAGTTTAAAGAAATCTCTATTTCCGGCTGGTTCTTCCCATGTCAGAAACAAAGATGATGTTGTGATTTCGGTCACTATGAGATTCCTGATCACATCTGGCTCTGTGTGGAGGAGAGAAGAGCAACTAATATGTGTTGGTGTGTAACCTCACGCCAGCAAAGGGAGCCCTCTCCCGAGTTCTGACTGTGTGCTGCTCCCTCTGTTTCACTGGTTACTTCCTGTTTGTGGGAGATTTAAGCATGGCCTGGCTAAGAGGCCATTGCGAAGTATTGCCCGTTCATCTGCCTTACCGAGCATTCTACTATCATTGTCTTGTTTCTCTTGTGTATGACCATTGCCTGCTCTGTTCCGTTTTTTTGCCTTTTAGATTATCCCTTTGCTCAGTTGTTTGGATTGGACTGCCTTATTGTGTATTACCTCTGCCTGCCTCACGTTTATGCTATCTGCCTGCCGATTTGGATTTGTTTGCTGTGGATTTTAATAAACGACTGCATATGGATTCTAACTCGGCTTCCTCCTCATTACATGGTGATATGATATTTTTTTTCTTTCTTCTTCACAGTATATTAAGACTGAGCCTTTTTTCTGGTTCAGGGAGTTTTGTAGAGTGCTTTGTAAAGTGTTCACACTTTTATTTGAATAGAGCCTTTATTGTTTAGATTAACTATGTCAAAAAACGAAATAATCTTAATACTTACACACTAAGATGCAAATGTTTTTTTTCTCCTACATTTTTTACAGGTTATATTGATAGGCACACCATTACTTTAATATTTACTCTGTAACAGGAGTTTTTGATGGAGATTTGTACAAACAGAAAGGCAACATATACTTTATAATTTTACATACCAGTATATTTTGAGATGCAGAAAGGTTCACTCTCTCCTAAGTTATCTGCAGTAAGAGCAGGGATGCAGAATGTGTAATTGACTCCAGCAGTCAGACTAGTGATGCTATAGGAAGTGTTAGTAGTTGCTGAATATCCATTTATTTGATCACCAATCCATTGAATTTTAAAGAAATATCTATTTCCAACTGGTTCTTCCCATGTCAGAAACACAGATGATGTTGTGATTTCAGTTACTTTGAGATTCCTGATCACATCTGGCTCTGTGTGGGGAGAGAAGAGCAATTCATAAATGTTAATGTAAAAATAAAACTACACTCATGACACTAATTATAAATACATATACTGTAGGAGGAAACGTGAACTGGTGCAACAAATTAATGAATAACATATTAATAAGAGGAAAGTCCATATTTTAATGTTTACTTAGTAAGGAGATCCTTGGATTGAGATTCATACAAAAAAGTAAGAAAGAAAAAGAAAGAGCAGATGAGTGCTGCAGTAGTTTGAGCGCTTTTACGAATCATTAGAAAAAAAATATTGGTGGGTCAGAAGTCAGTCTGTTTAAATGTACTATAGCAAGAAAAAGAGACTTTATAATTCTACATACTGGTATATTGTGAGATGCATAAAGTGTCTCCTTCTGAGTCATCTTCAGTAACTGCTGTGATGCAGAATGTGTAATTGACTCCAGCAGTCAGACCAGTGATGTGATAGAAAGTGTTAATAGTTGCATTTGTTTGATCACCAGTCCATTGAATTTTAAAGACATATCTATTTCCAAATGGTTCATCCCATGTCAGAAACACAGATGATGTTGTGATTTCAGACACTTTGAGATTCCTGATCATATCTGACTCTGTGTGGGAAGAGAAGGACAAATCATACATGCTGGTGACAGATGGAGTTAAAACATGTGAGACTTTGTAGAATTTGTAGGTGCTTAAGATGTTGCTGTACAGTTTTCTGCTCAAGGCAAGTAAATGGTTTCAAGGCTGAAAGTTTGGCAGATTAATTCATATTAAACATCCAATCAGAGGTCTTACTGGTATACAGTGAAATCTGATTGGCTCTCCCCTCGGTCACATGATCAGCTGCAACTGCAAACACTCTGAATGTGTACTGCGTTCCGGGAATCAAATAATTTATCTCGATGGAGGTGTTTTCAGCTGTCATATTGTTATTTTCATATTCTACACAGTAACGGGAGCTTTGGCCGTTTGGTTTTGTCCAGTTTAGTAAGACAGAGGATGCTGTAACATCAGCAGCTGTGAGGTTCATTATGATGTCAGGCTCTGTGAGTGAAAATAACAGACATTTAGGGAGTAAAATGTGAATCCTAAAACTTGTAAAGACTCGTCAGGAAAAGTATAAAACAAACTCATATATTTTGAGATAACCACTGATTCTCCTTCTGTTGATTTATCTGCTGCAACAGCTGTAATGATAAATGAGTAATTGACTCCAGCAGTCGGACCCATTATGTTATACCATGTGTTATTGGTTGTTGAACGGCTGGCTGTTTCCTCATCAGTCCATTCAAGTTTAAAGAAAGAACTTTTTCCAACTGGTTCTTCCCATGTCAGAAACACAGATGATGTTGTGATTTCGATCACTGTGAGATTCCTGATCACATCTGGCTCTGTATGGAGGAGAGAAAAGCAACTAATATGTGTCGGTGATATGATTTTTTTTTCTTTCTTCTTCACAGTATATTAAGACTGATCCTTTTTTCTGGTTCAGGGAGTTTTGTAGAGTGCTTTGTAAAGTGTTCATAGTTTTATTTGAATAAAGCCATTGTTGTTCATATTAACTCTATCAAAAATCGCAATAATCTTAAAGGTCACATATTTTACACCTTTCTGGAGTTTTATTTTAGATTTTGATGTCCTTAAGAATATACATTTGCGGTATAAGTACCAAAAACCATCTCAATGTGAAAAATCACAGCTACTTTATGCAGGCTGTGTGCATTTTACTGTGGACTGACTGTTTTGAAACTTATATGGTAGTTAAATAGTCCCTAGACCTCAGTTGTCTGAAAAAGGCCAGGACATATCAGTTTTGACAATATGGGACCTTTAATACTTAACACACACTAAGGGTGCTTTCACACCTGTGGATCGATTGCTTTATTCCGAAACGGGGATTAAAATTATTACATTGTTGCTTTTTATTCTTGGTGTGGTTCGCTTTCACACGGCAAAGTTTCTAAATGGACCAAATTTGTTAATACAAGTCACGTGCGAGTAAACTGTTCTCTCATTGGTCAAAGTTCCATGGTTTATTTTCCGGGATTCCACTTAGCTGTCACGTCTGTCATCCGTCAGGATGGAACACCAACAGCTTTTTATTTTATTTTTGTAGCTGTCCTTATATTAATTTATCATTTTGAGCAGGAGTCCAGGATTCATCGGGAAAACATTTTTTAAATGCACCTACTAGGAAGAAGAGCAATAAGACGGCATTATAAAATGAAAAAGTGTGCTTTTTTATTTTGAATGGCGAAGACATGCTCACCCACAGATTCATTCACAGGTTAATTTATAAGTATTAGCAAAACAATAAAGCTAATGCTTTTCACAGAACTTACGTAATTACGCATTATACATTGTGATATAGCCTGGTTCGTTGGTCTGTTAGATTAGATTGCTTTCTCACTACAACCGAACCGTTCCAGAGTTCGTTTTCAATCGAGCCGAGACCACCTCATTCAGGCGATCTCGGACCGATTGTTTTGGCGCGGATCCGGGCGCGATTGCCGTGTTCACATATGCCCAAATGAACCGAGCTAAGGGGGGAAACGCGCCAGGTTCCAAAACAACGAGCCAGGTGTGAAAGCACCCTAAGATGCAAATCTCTTCTTTTACATTGATAGTTACACCATTACTTTAATATTTACTCTGTAACAGGAGTTTTTGACGTAGATTTGTACAAAAAGAAAGGCAACAGATATTTTATAATTTTACATACCAGTATATTTTGAGATGCAGAAAGGTTCACTTTCTCCTAAGTTATCTGCAGTAAGAGCAGTGATGCAGAATGTGTAATTGACTCCAGCAGTCAGACTAGTGATGTTATAGGAAGTGTAAGTAGTTGCTGAATATCCGTTTATTTGATCACCAATCCATTGAATTTTAAAGAAAGATCTATTTCCAACTGGTTCATCCCATGTCAGAAACACAGATGATGTTGTGATTTCAGTTACTTTGAGATTCCTGATCACATCTGGCTCTGTGTGGGGAGAGAAGAGCAATTCATAAATGTCAATGTAAAAATAAAACAACACTCATGACACTAATTATAAATACATATACTGTAGGAGGAACGTGAACTGGAGCAACAAATTAAAGAATAACATATTAATAAGAGGAAAGGCAATAGTTTGATGTTTACTTACACTGTTAAAATTTGTTTTTATTTTACAGGTAATTGTCTGTATTTTTTTTTTTTACAGAATTTTCCCCTTTTTTCATTATACGATAAAATACCTGTTGTTTTACAGATATTTTCTGTATTTTAAAGTTCCACCATTAAATTTACAGAAAATTTCTTGTATTTCGGTATTACATGAATTTTCTGGTTTTTAAATGGAAATTTTCTGTATTTTCACAGAGTAATGTGTAATTTTACATAAAATGCTATTTAATATTTACAGATTATTCCTGTAAAAATAGGGAAACATTTTTTTGAACCACAAATCATTGTCTAAGTGTTTGTATTAGCCTACCATTGAAGATCATTAATCATGTGAGGGTTAAAGTGAGGCTTTTAAGGTTAAATAATAGTATTTGTACATACAGTACATGTACTGTAAATGATGTATTGTTTCTTTTACTACTCTTTTAACCTTGTCTTGTAAATAAATGCTCATTTTAATCATTATTTGGTAAATTATTTGTTTTCGGTGATGGTATAGGTAGGGTTATGCTGCGTTTCAGACAACTTGGATTTAGGATATTTCCCACTTCAACCCAGAAATAATTTATGGAATGTCGCTCTTTTAATGTTTACAGATATTTGTAATGTTTTAATGCGGCCAATCATTAGTAACATTAATGTTTTAATGTTACAAAGTAGCCTACTTTTGCATTATGACGCAGATTCAAATTTGCCGCCAATTTAGCTCCGCCCACGATGGTTGGCTGAGATGTTTCTGTACCGTACGACACGACAGCGATGGAACGACGCGGAAATTATTTGAATTTATTTCAGGCTATCCATTCGGAAATGTGTGAAAAAATAACGCACTCTTTCTTCAGTGAGCCTGTTTCGCAAACTACAACAAATTCTGACGATACTACAGCAGACATCATGCCAATTGCCAACCGACCGAGGCAAGTCTTTCATACAACATATTTTATATAGTGTGGCTGCACATTTGTGTTAAGTGTAGTTTCGAAGCTAAAATTAGCATTTCTAAATGGTTTTCAGTCACATAACTGGCGTCGATAGCTGAAGGGCAAAACACTGAAAACTGCAGCACGTTTGTAAGAAAGATCAGTTGACCTCAAAAGACTCGAAACAAGCTTTAGTAAACTTGTTATTAATATCAAAGTTTGTTAGTGTAACGCTATATAAAGTCTTTGCTCAACTGGAAGTACGCGCCAGTTTTTCAAACTCTTAAACGGTGGGTCATTTTGAAACGTTGAATGTGGCAAACTGTATCAAAACAGAGAGTGTTGAGAGTGAAATCAGTAGGCTGTTAGTTTGTACCTGGCTGACTCAGACTGAAGACTTCTAGTCTGCGTGAGAGAGAATGTTGTGATAACAGAGCCAGGTCTTGTAGAGCCAAAAACTGTGAAAGTCAGTTAATCAGTTAAGAAACTATAATATCTTTAAACAGGAATCAATGACATTTAGGATCCGTTTTCAGGGTTTCAGCACACTTTGACCAATGATTTTATGACTTTTTCAGTTTTTGATGATGACTACTGTAGGGTATCAGACCAAATCAGCCAATTTAAGATTCGATCAAGAACATGGTTGAAACACGAGGAGCCGAATTCCACAGAAAGGCCCAAGATGACAGGATGTTCGTAAATCAGATCCTAGCGCCAGCCAGTCTGAAGCAAGCCTAACCAACCAACTCTTTCACAGAACAGCTTGCAACATTAAACAAAAGAAGACTTATTGATAATCCAACGCAGGAAGGAGATTGTCAAATTTGGGGCAAGTAACCAAGATTAATGGTCAAAGACACAGCATATCATGACCATCACATGAGGAAAATCATTAGTAGAAACTGAGTTGGGTGGTTTCCCCCACCTAGAAGACAAAGACCAGACTGAGATTCCTTATGAGACCTTTTAACCTCTGGTCTTCACAGAACATGTCCTTATGTTCACAGAATGGCACAGAAACTGTCTTTTACAGATGTAGATGCACCAAAATGAACTCAAAAAGACTTATAAACGAATATCAGTCCATTGCTTAACTTCATATTATGTATGTAACCCACACATTTGACTATCACGTTCTAATCACTTATTGTGTATGTCTTTTTAATAACTAT